TATATGTAACAAATATTATCAAATATTATTTTGTTTTTTAATTAATATTTAGGTAAATGTTGAAATTATTAAGTGTAAATTATTAGTGTGTAATTGTATTATAATTTATATATTGTCTTTAATAAAGTTTATATAAAATTGATATAAATTCATAAGTATAATAAGTAAATTTAAGCGTCATCGTATGGTTGTGTATAATTGAGATAAAAGTAAAGTTAAGAGAAGTATGATCCATTCGAAGTAATACGTATATGTTTTTCGGCCAGATAAGAGGCCAATGATGTCGTTTTAAATTGTACATCCGCTGAAAAGTCTACGGCTTATCTTGAAGTGTCGTTCGCTTAGCGATGACGCATTGCGATGACGAGATGACGACCTTATTACTTAATCTACCGAGTGTTACGAGACGTCTCGAGCCTGTATTAACTTAAGCAAATCGACAGATTTGTCACTGGCAATCTTAACCATGATCGAATCTCTCTCTCTCTCTCTCTCTCTCTCTTTCTCTCTTGTTACTTATGTTTCTCATTTCCTTCTCTAAAACTCGTTCCCAAAATCTCTCCATTGGGAACATTGATTATATCACGGCTATGTACTATCTTTTGAAACGCAGATTAAATACGTTGTAAATTTATATATATATCATCTAACTAGGATTTTTTACGCGAAAACGAGAAACTTATTCCTTACTACTTCTTTAATAAATTTTATTTTAATGATTTAATCTTAGAACTAGCTATCAATATTGAATGATACAGTATTACTATATATATTGATACGTAAATTTTACATTCGGAGAAAGTAGATTACTCCTAATGTGATATAAGATTTTTATACTTTTATTGATAAAATATTTATCTATCTTATTATTTTTATCTAGATATTTATAAATTTAAATAAACTAATTAATAATTAAAAAAAAAAAGAAAAACTAAGCAGATTATTAAATTTAATTCGCTGCTAATCGTTGAAAGCATAGCTTGACGCTCAATGATTTCGCTCATTTATACGTTAAATTTACATACAATAGCGTCCTAGGTAACACATTGCTTTTTATAAAAATATTCAGCGGAATTAATTATTAGTTCTCGGATATAGTCGTATTAAATAGCATAATCAAGTAGGCAAATTAATACTTTCGTAATAATTAATAATTCTCATTATTGTTAGCTGATAATTAATTCTTCATAGCATATATTATCAAACTTGATTTTTCACATCGTACATATTATCAAACTTGATCTTTCCTTACCTCTGTCGACGATCTTGCCGAAAAGATTTTTCCCTCTTAGAAAATTTTTCGTCGAGCAATTCCATCGCCTGTTGCGAAACTGATGTTGACATTCGACGATAGCTTGGTTCGCACCCCTTGACACTGCCATCAGTACTCCTGGATTCTCTCTAGCGAGTCTCCTCTGTTTTCTTCTTAGGGTGGCGTAGACCGGTTCCATGTGTATGGAACCTGCTGACATCGGTAAAAAATTGTTGGGTTCGCCTGCTTTTGCAATACCCCTAAAAAAATTAAAAAAAACCGACGTATTATTTTTTTATATTCTTCACATTTTTTAATAAAATAAAACATGTGACAAGAAACACTTGTAACTAACAAACATGGAAATATATTATGTATAATCAAAATGACAAATAAAAAAAAATAGACTTCATAGAAACATTGAAAGACATACAGGGAAGACAAAGGAGAAAGCGAAACATATAAACAGAAAGATTTGTTGAGAAAATCAATTCTTTATAATTTGTCAAAAAGAAGCAGTCGAAAGTGACTTTGTGAGTGCGACTATTGAAGTCTCTATTCATCTCGAGCACATAATTCCTCGGAGTTTTATTGAAGGAAGAAGTAGACCTGGCTAGCATTTCGATGGAAACAGACTTCGACGGCATCAGGTATACGCGGAGCGTTAAGGACGTATTTTCAAACAGGGATCGTGTTAATGAAGAGCCTTTGAGTAAAATTACTCTCGTGATCCAGCGGTACGTAGTGCTCCCTTCGACCGGGGAAGCGTAATCCCGATCGTATATCCTCAACACAAGCGTTAAAGTGCACATAGTATGCGTGCTTTCGTGAAATTATCAATTTATATGCAGCTGCGTTTGGCCGTGCTTAAGCTAGCCCCGGCCCCGACGACGAGCTTAATGCAATGCGATCGCCGGTAAATTCCCTTAATGAGCTTCTGTGTATTCGTTCTGGCGAGCGCCGTGCACGTCGTTATCGTGCTTGTCGCGTATTACATGACCGTCGTAATGTAATACACAAGGTATCGGGCCATATCGCGCGAATAAATTTTAATTACGCGGCAATTCCGCGAATGATAATGCGCACCGTCATCCGCCGCGATTGCATTTGTCCTATCCGATCCAACCGACAACGCGACAGGTGCGATCGATCTGGTAGAGAAACAACTTCCAATTTGCGCTAAATAGAGTTTTAATCAACATTCAATCCTTACTTATAAATCTCTCTTTCACACACACACACACACACACACACACACACACACGCACGCACGCACGCATGTATACATATGTCTTATTATATATCTTCAAATTCTTCAATTATTTATTTCCAAGTGTAATAGCAATTTTAAACAAATCTTTTTGAACCCTGTATTTATTTTCTTAGAATTGTCGATATGGAAAAATGTTTAATTTGTAGAATGGATGCTCTTTGTCTTTTTAGAGAATTATAACCTGGAAGTAATAATATCTATTCTGTGCATTGTGTGATTGTGTTAGAGACAGAGTTTTATATTTTTAAGTGTTCTTGATTTACAAGAATAAAAAGAGCTTAAATTGTCCTTTATTAAAACTTTAAAATGCAATTCTAAAAGACTGCATTTAACCCATTCGAGAAATTGTTTGCGGAACGTTTGAATAGATGTATAATTTATGGAGGTACTTAAGCGTGCGATTTAAACAGTAGTCGACACCGCGAAATGCCAATTTCGAGCGCAAAAAAGTGCGCTTTCTAGAAAGAACGGGCAGTGCGAGAAAGAATGGGGAGCGACGAAGGTGGATTAGCACGAAAGATGAAACTGGTTCAGCAGTTTCGATCAACGGTAGCTCGTCGTGTGTATAGGGTGTATCTGTGTCCATGGATTTACTATAAATTCTTTGATCAAATTTAAAGTTGAATTTTGGTTATAAAAATGCATAATAAAATGTTAACTACTAAAGAATTCATGTCTGCCCTATAAAATATTTCCGCAACTTTCTCTATTCGTAATTTAAGATCAGAATTCTTTTTAAGTAAAACTTTGAAATAAAATGCAATTTTTTATATTCGTAAGACATTAAAATTGTCTAATATTAATTACTTACATTGAAAAATTATTAATTAATAATAATTATTAGTTAATAATC